GTCATAAGCAGACTGTACCACCAGATACTGGATATTCTTTAAGAATTAAAATGCTACCAGGCATGGTGGCACGCGTCTGTAATTCCACTGACTCGGAAAGCTGAGGCAGGAGGATCACAAGTTCAAAGCAGCCTCAGCAACTTAACAAGGCCCTAAGCAACTTAGTGAGACCATGCCTCCAATAAAAAATGAAAAGGGCAAAAGATGTAGCTAAGTGGCAAAGCATCCCTGGGTTCAATCCTCAGTAGCCAAAAAGAAAAAAAATTAAAATGCTATGGGCACAGGCTCGGATTTTGGCTCAATGGTAGAGTTCTCAACTGGCACATGTAAGGCACTGAGTTTGATGTTCAGCACCGCATAGAAATAAATAAATAAATAAATGTATTGTGTCCATCTACAACTAAAAAATTAAAAAGTAAAAGTTAAAAATTCTATGGGTACATAGGATAAAGACAATCTACGCATGTCCAACAACATTCATAAAACCTTGAAAACCCCAATATATATATATGCTGAAAAGAGAAGAAATTCCACACAAAACCAGTAAGTGAATATTATATTCTAGCATGATACCATAGAAAAGAAAAAATTGGAAAGTTATTAATATAAAAATTTATTTCACATACCCGCCAGTTTTAATGTCATATTTAAAATTAAAATACCAAGCCATAGAAAAGTATACTATCATTAATTATATATTTAAAAGTATACTCAAAAGATAAATCTATTTACAACTGTGTTCAGTACTTTAAGTACTATTAATACTTAATTTTCATTTACTATATTCTTAAGATAATAAATCCATAAAAAAGTAAATACAATAAGAGTTATAATCCTCCTGTTCACTTTCCAGGTATCTGGGAATAGTTTAGAAAATATATATTGATTTTACTTTAAAAACAAAAATTTTCTATGCTATGGCTTGGATATGGTTTGTCCCCCAAAGGTCCTGTGTTAGAGGCTTAGTCCTCAGTTTGGAGGCATATAGGTAATGGGATCTTTAAGAGAGGAGCCTAGTGGGAGGTCCTTAGGTCATCTGGGGCACTGCCCTCAGAAGGGATTAAGGTAGTTCACCTAGGACCTGAGTTAGTTCTGGACAGAGTCAGTTGTTAAAGCCTAAGCCTGATTCCTGAATCTCTCCAGCTTCCTGTCTGGCTGTGTGACTGATAAGAGTGTTCTCTTTCTCATAAGCTCCTACCATTGTGACATTACCTACCCATTTACAGGCCTTCATCAGAGATGAGAAGATATCAGCACTCTCTTGAACCACCAGAACTGTCACCTAAATAAATTTCTTAAAATTTAATAAAGTTGCCCAGCTTCAGATATTTCATCACAATAATGAAAAAGGGACTAAAAGAATTTACATGCTAACTGATGCCTGAAAGATCCATCATTACCTGAACACACTCACAATCCCGTTTCTAATTAAATACAATGCTAAATTTATGCCATATATACAATTTCAAACAGATTGTTTTTATAATTATAGGTGAAGCCATGACAATTATTCTACTGAAAATCTTCGAAATCATCAAAAGTTCAACAAAATATAAACATTAAAAAGCCATAAAACAGAAACTGTCATACAGAAGACAGCATACAAAGATCCATTAGAAGCTTTACTTTTGTGGAAAAGAATTTCTTTTTTTTTTTTTTGGTAGTTATATATGGACAGCATAACTTTATTTTATTTGTTTATTTTTATGTAGTGTTAAGGATTGAACTCAGTGCCTCACACATGCTAAGCAAGCTCTCTGCCAGTGAGCTATAGTGACAAAGAATTTCTTACTTAAATTTCAAATATTACAGAAAAGTTAAAAGAATAATACAATAAATACCTTTCGCTAAGATTCAATGTTTGTAAGTATTTTACTATAATGCCCTCCTGTTCCCTTTCCCATCTCCTCCTCCTCCGCTCTCCAGCTATCTAACTCTTTTTTTTTTTTTTGCTATCAAGGATTGAACCCAGGAGCACTTAACCATTTTTTCTTTTGAGACAGGGTCTAGTTAAGTTGCTTAGGGCCTTGTTAAATTGCTGAGACTTGCATTGAACTTGCAATTCTCCTGCCTCAACCTCCTGAGTTCTGTGATTACAGGAATGCACCACCATGTCTTGGCTACCTTTTTATTTATTTAATAGTTTATTGCTGAGAAAACCATTGTAGTCAAATTCATTAATGCCTCTATAGAAAAACAAGATGCTAAGAAAGATAATGAATATTATAGTCTTGCAAATTCAGCTCAGGTATAGCCACCAAATGAATTCAGAATAGTACATTAAAAGATCTTTACATCATCAAGTGAGATTTATCCCTGGAATGCAACAATGGTTCAACATATGCAAATCAGTATTGATAAACCACAATAAAATGAATACAAAAACCATGTGGTTATCAGTAGATGTGGAAAAAGCATATGACAAGATTTAACATCCTTTCAAGATAAAAACTCTCAACAAATGACGTAGAGAAGAAATATACTTCAACATAATAAAGGCCATATATGACAACTAGCACGGCTAACATACTGATATGTATACAGAAATCCCTAAAGATACCATCACAAAACTGTAATAACTAATAAAAATGCAGGGAAAGTTTTAGCATATAAAAGCAACATACAGGAGAAATAGCATTTCTGTACATTAACAATGAACTATCCAGGGCTGGGGTTGTGGCTCAGTGGTAGAGCACTTGCCTAGCAGGAGAGAGGCACTGGGTTAAGTTCTCAGCACCATATATAAATAAATAAATAAATGTCCATTTAAAGAAAAAAAAAACAATGAACTATTCAAAAAAGGAATCAAGAAAGCAATAGCATTAGTAATAACTACACAAAATAAATAAATAAAATTCTTAGGAACAGATTCTACCAAAGAGGGAATGTATACTGAAAACACTTGGGGAAAGTTCCATGACTTTGTTCTGAGCAATATTTTTTTTATTTGACCCCAAAGGCATAGGCAACAAAAACGAAAACAGATGAATAGGATTACAAACTAAAAATATTTTGCATTATAAAGGAAAAAAAGGAGTAAAAAGAAAAACCCATGGAATGGGTGAAAATTTTTGTAAACCATATATCTAATAAGGAATTAATCCAAAATATATAAAGAATTCAAACAACCCAGTAAGCAAGAAAACAACCAGATTTTTAAATGGGCAAAACTGAACAGACATTCCACAAAAGAAGACACAAATGGACAAAGGGTATATGGGAAAAAAATGCTCAACATCACCAATTATCCAAGAAATGAAAATTCAAATCAAGAAATGAAAATTAAAACCACAATAAATGCTGGGCATGGTGGCGCATGCCTATAATCCCATCAACTTTGGAAACTGAGGTAGGAGGCTTTCAAGTTCCAAGCCAAACTCAGCAATTTAGCAAGGCCCTGTCTCTAAATAAAATATAAAAAAGGGTTGGTGATGTGGCTCAGTGGATGAATGTCCCAGGAGTTCAATCCCCAATATCCAAAAATAAATTTAAAAAATACATTAATTAATAGATAAATAAAATTTAAAAAATAGAAACAATGATATCACTTCACACCTATTAGAGCAGCTATTATCAAAAAGATATTTGCAAAGATGTAGACAAAAAGGAACCCTTAGAGGCCACTGGTGAAAAAGTAAATTAATCCAGTCATTATGAAAAACAGTATAAAAGTTCCTCAAAAAATTAAAAATAGAACTACCACTTGATCTAGCAATCCTATTAACTACTACTGGATACATCTCCAAAGTAAGTGAAATCAATATGTCCAAAAAGAATCTGCATAGTCATGTTCATTGCAACATTCTTTACAACAGCCAACCTAAATATCTGTCAATAGGCAAATGAATAAAGAAAATGTGGTGTACATATACAATGGTATACTATTCAGTCTTAAGGAAATACTGTGACAACATGGATGAACCGAGAGGACATTACATTAAGTCAAAGATGCAAGACATAGAAAAATAAATATTGTATGATTTCACTTAATCTAAAACTCATAAGGGCAGAGAGTAGAATGGCAGTTAACAGAGGCTGGAGGATGGGTGCAAAACTGGGGAGATATTGATCAGAGAATACAGAATTTCAGCTGGATAAGAGAAATAAATTCAAGAAATCTACTGTACACACAGTGACTACAGTTAATGTATTATGTACTTGAAATTGCTAAGGGAGTAGATTTCAGTGTTCTCACCACAAAAAATAAACAAGTAAGTATGGAGAATGGTGACTTGAATCTCTCTGCTTCATAGCTGTGGCTATGCTTTGCTCTGGAACCTTTCTGTGCAAACGTGCAGGACAAGATTGCCCAAGAGCTATGGTAAAGCCCTGCCTGAGGAAGTTCTATGCAAAGGTACAGAACAATAACAGTCTTAACTTTGAGTTCAGACACCAGCTGCCAGGAATAGAGAATTCTGAGCACAACAAGATAACCATCATATCCTGCAAGCGCTGCAAACTTCAAGCCTGCCTGCTTTACAGAAACTCTGGACAATAGGCTTCCCTGATACAGTAGGATAATAACAGAATGTTCCTAGTACTGCAACAGTAGAATAGCTACAATAATGTTTCTGGTTCTGTAACTTTTTAGTCCACAAAGAACAATGTTCCTATAGTTTAAACATCCTAATTGTATGACCCTATATAATAAACATGCTTAACTAGCTTTGGGTCACTGTTCTTCCATCAGAAGTCAGTGTCCCTCCTGGTCCCAGCTTTCTCTCTGTAAGGTTTGTGTGTCTTTCTTAATCCCCCATTACACCTTGCTGGTTTGTAAGGTTTGGTCCTGGAGGTCAAGGCAAGTGAGGTAATGCATGTTAATTAGCCTGATTTAGACATTTCACAATGGATATATGTTGAAAACAACATGGTACATTTCCTAAATATACACAATTTTGTTTGCCAATTATAAATAATAATAAAATAATTTTTAAATTACCACAAAAATCTTATAAAAATAAGTAAAATGCAAGTTGCATTCAGAATAAAAATTTACATACCTTGGCTTCCGAAATGCTAAACTATATTGTTGGCAAGCCAGACCCACAGTTGGAGTATAAACAATAGGCATGAATTTTTCAATGTCAGACGTTAGCACTCTATAAAAGAGCTTTTCATTTCTATCTTGAAGATCCATTAAAAGAAGATACCTGTGGAAAATGGGATATAATTAGATCTACATCCAACAAAGTCATGAAATAACTGCTCAGAACTCTAATTAAACATTTTTAAGTCATGCAGAAAACATCTAACCAAATACAAATTTAGAAATGTTAAATGCTTCAAAGAAGGAAGAACAATAAACTTGATTACTATCACTCCAGTATTCAAATCATTGCTGAAATAACATCATTTAACTCAACATTTAGATTTTTATCTCTATTTTAAAATGAAAGACAAATGAAAATACCTCTATAGACATAGTTTAAGCATTTACTTACCTAATTAAATAGAAAAATTTTATCCTCTGACTTCACTATTGATAAATAAGAGAAATAACATGCAGGAAATGGGTAAGGTAGTGCAGCACTCACCTTAGAAATAACTAAGACAGGCAAGCTCAAAGGACTTTTCTAAATATTGTATCTAACAGCTCTTTTCTGTCTAGAGATATTTCTGATCTAGAGTTATTTTTCTAAACATAAACCTTTTAATGTTACCTGTAATCTTCCATAGTTTAGAGAACAAAAAAAATATCTGCTTGGTACAAGTGAAAAAAAAATTGCACAACTATATTTAACAACCTTACTAGATTTTTTGGTTTGATTTTCTGATATGGTTTAGATATCATTTGAGGGTGTTCTCCAACAGATCATGTGCTGGAAGCTCAGGCCCCCATGTGGCAATGTGAAATGTGGAAGAACCTTTAAGAGGTGGGGCCTAATGGAAAGTAGTTAGGTCACTGGGGAAGCTGCTCTGGAAGGTATTAATGCAGTTCTCATGGGGCCCTAGTCGGTTTCGTCAACTGTGAAATATTAAAATAAAAGAGCAATCTTGGCCCCATCTTGTTCACTGATTTCTGGCCTTATGATCTCTCCCTCTCATAAGCATTCCTATTATGATGCCATCTGCCATGTTGTAACAGAGAAGACGGTTCTCACCAGAGGCCAAACAAATGACGCTGCTCAATCTTGGACTTTCAGCCTCTAAAATCATGAACTAAATAAATCTCTTTTCTTTGTAAAGTAGTCAGCCTCAGATATTTTGTTATAGCAACAGAAAACAAACTAATACATTTCCATTCCCTAGAACAAATGAAAATGTATAGAACTGGGAAAAAATCAATGGATGTTAATGCTTGGGCAATTAGGTAAAATAATCCAGAAAACAAACATTTGGGAGGAAGATGGTGACTTTAATTTTAGACATGCTAAAATTAGCAATGTGGGAGTCATCATTGCTAAATCAGTGGTCAATTCTCAGATCTCACCTTACTTATCAAGAACATTTGACATAAGTGACATCCCCTAAAATTTGACATATTCTCTTTCCTTGACTTCTAGGCCATCATATTCTCAGTATTTCTTCTACATCACTGGTCATTCCCTTTCAGTTTCTTTGTTGTTGTCTCTAGCTATGGTTTACATGTAACGTATCCCCCAAAAGCTCACATGTGAAACAATACAAGAAGGTTCAGAGGAGAAATGATTGAATTGTGAGAATCTTAACCCAACCAGTGAATTAATCCCTGATGGGATTAACTGAGTGGTAACTAGAGACAGGTGAGGTATGGCTGGAGAAGTGGTTAATTGGGAGCATAGCTATTGGGTATATATTTTGTATCTGGAACTGTAGTCTCTCTCTGCTTCTTGATCACATGATGTGAGCTGCTTTCAATCCGCCACTCTCTCCCACAATGATGTTTAGCCTCACCTAGAGCCCTGAGGAATGGAGCTAGCCTTCTTTGGACTAAGACCTCTGAAACTGTAAGCCCTCAAATAAATTTTTCCTCCCCTACAGTTGTGCTGGTCAGATCCTTTAGTCACAGAAGCAAAACAGTTGACTAAAACATCTCCTCTTCTCTGAAAGCTTTCTAACACACATATAGAATCCATTAGGAAATTATGATGGTTTTATCTTCAAATAAATAAAATAATTTAAAAAATAACTGTATTTTACAAACAATTCCCTTCCAAATTGACTACCCTTTCCAAATGATGAAATATTTTAACAATTACACACAAGGACTATAAAAATCATATTTAGGAACAAGTTACCTGTCAAAATCTGAGTTCAGACGCTCAAAATTTTTAACTACTCTAAGGACCTGGATGTCTGGGCTGATGAAGCAAGGTGGCAACAATCCATGAATATTCAACTGTTGTCTTTCTTCCAGAGTAAAAGCTAAGTCCTGTGGAGAAAGGGAAAACACACTAATTTGAAGAGGGGAAAAAAGGACAAAAAGTATGTCACAAACACACACCAATAAATTCCAATGAGGATGGAATTAAAAATCAGAAGATCTGGCATCACTCTAAGCATGGTCATGCAACTGTAAATAAATCATGTCAGCTCTCCACACCTCAGTTTCCTTATCTACAAAAATTAGAATACTGGACTTTTTAGAGCTCTGTCATTTGGATATTGTTAGGATGAAATTAGAGAATGGATGGGAGGAAACTACTTGAAGCACAAAAGTGAAAGAAGATATAATCATTAATGTCAGTAAATATAAAAATAATATTTATTATAAGAAATTTCAAGATTATGAACGTGAGTATGTCACCTGTGACCTGCTGTGCTTCTCTACCTCAGCAAATACCTTGTATGATTCTGAGATACATGTTCCAGCACTCTTCTCCTGAGTTATCTCACACTATTCATATGCACTCCAGCTATGCAAAACTTTTCCCCACTGCTTGAACACACCACACCCTTCTATTTTTTTGTGGTCAAGAATGTCTTTTTTACTTCTCTGCCTGTCAACAATTACCTCAAATGTTCCCTCTTTCTAAAATTTTATCAAATTGGCCTACTACATATATTATAGTCTTATTACTTTAATATGTTATGTTTTCTATGTACATGAACACTGATTGTATAAAATGATAGTAATAACAAATTATGGAGTTTAAAAATAAGCAACAAAGCAGATATTATGAGTTGGTGCAAAAACCAGAATGGACCTAAGAGATTTGCTAGGGTATAATATGGAAAATAAAAGCAAACAAGCCTCTGTAGTTGTTAATGGGAGAGAATGATATGGAAGATTGGGATAAGGAATCCCTCTAGAGAAGACTCTGCCTGGAGATACAAAAGATCAACAGGCTTCTTTGACTCCTGCATTGCTGTTTCTTTGCTGCCAGCATATGAGCTGACATGATATGATGGCTGCTGTTATGACAGAATGTCTGTGCCCCATCAAAATGCATATGTGGAAATTCTCACTCACAAGGCAATGGCATTAGGAGGTGGGAATTTGGGGGGTGATTAGGTCACAAGGACTCTCTACCCTCCTGAATATGATTAGTTTCCTTACAAAGAAACCCCAGAGAGCTGCTTTGTCTCTTCCGCCACGTGAGGAAACAGAAGATGCTAGCCATATGTAAAGCAGGAAATGGGACCCTCACCAGACAACAAATCTGCAGCACCTTGATCTTGGGTTTCCTAGCCTTCAAAAATGTGAGAAATAAATTTCTTTTGATTATAAGTTACCCAGTCCATAACATTGTTACAGAAGCCTAAATGAACGGACTACAACTCTCAGTTTTGCACATTGATTTTTTTTTTCAATTAGCCATAATCACTCCTCAGACAAACTTCATTGGTTACAATACTAATACTGTGTAAAGCTAAGTATGCACATTGTGACTACTACTGCTGTAGACAACTTGGATAGAGAGGAACACATTCACTGTCATGAGTGGTTCTATAATCATCCTTCTTTGTCCCTGAAAATTACTTGCAAGGACAGAACAGTGACTCCTAACTTCTTGTGAAGTTTACTACTTGGGGTCAAGAACAGACAATTTGGTTCAACCCAGAGGGAGATGACAGACCCTGAGTGGTGAAGTATGAACATGTTTAATACCAGAAAGTCTGTGAAAGAGACCAAAAGATGAACAACCCTCTCTTTCTTCTAATCTCTGATATGATCAGTTCCATTAATTCATGCCCCTAATAGAAAGGCTATGTTTAAATAGCCTACTGAATCAGGAGGACATACTAAAGAGACAATTAAATTTGCCCACTGAATGACCCTCCCACAGTATCTTAGTTGCCTACAAAAGCTAGCAGAGACTAATGGCTCCAAAATTTCCAATATAAGATGTGTCCATGTCCAACCTTGAATTTTTATAGTCTCCAAATGAATCAACAAAGATGAAATCTAGCTACCAGATGTTTTCCCCCACTTCAGCTATTCTCATAGCTACAAAATTCCCACTATTATATGCTCACTTAGGAATGCTGTGGGTTCCAATAAGTAAAGACAGAAGCAGATGGTCTCTTTCAAGAAGGATAATCCAATATGGCCAACTGTGCCTGACCCAATCACACTCTCCTGGATGCCTAGAGAACGAGAGACCAGCACAGTCTGCCAGCTCTTTACCTAGGAGTTCTAGGCAACACCAGCAGACACCTGTGGTATTGCCTGGGTTCTTTGCCCATTTACTTCTTTATTTGTGCTTTGTGTCCCCACCCTAGAAAGCAAGCTCCTTAAAAATCAAGAAATTTTGCTTGTATTATTCATTGTTTTTTCCCTAGCACCTAGAACAGGTCTGATATAATTAGAACTCAATAATTTATTGCACATAAAACAAGAAAACTTTAAATAACCAACTCTAGAGTCATAAACATTTTATAAAACTATAAAACTGGTTTTTAGGAAACTAATATGCATATTCATTCTAAAATTTAACCCAACCAAGAGGAAATATTTTGTGAAAAGATAATCTATAAACTGGAAGGCATATTTCACCTGCCCAAGGTACAACTGGAGACTAATAATTTAAAATGTCATGAAATAATTCATTAAAATGAAACAAAATTATATATAGTAATATATTTGTAAAATACAATACATTTTTCTTTAACTACAAAATGCAAAGTGGGGGGTTAGGCTAAACTGTCAAAATTCTATAAATATTTAGAAGCAGCAATAAATTTCTTTATGTTATGCTTTGAAATATGCCTGCAGAAAATGATAATCAAAATGTCAATATTTTAGCCAAACTCAGTGGCAAATGCCCATAATACCAACTACTCTGGAGGCTGATGCAGGAAAATCACAAGTTCTAGGCCATCCTGGGCAACTCAGCAAGGTACCATATCAAAAGAGCTGGAACTGTAGCTCAAGGTCAATATTCTGAGAATAAGACTTATTTTCAGACATACTAACATAGGATCCTTCATTCATTTAATTATGGCATTTACCTATCATTTATAGTTAGCCAATCTTTTTATATAAAATTTTCAAATGTCTGGTCCAAAACTAATTCCTAAATCTAACAGGTCTCCCACCATATCTTATGCCACATAACTGATAATGACATCTGGAAATCTTTGATAATCTTCAATGTTCAGTAACTACAAATTCCCACACTCTCTTAGTCAAAATATTCACTCTAGGACTTAGAAATATGGAGTACTGAACCAGCTTAACATATTATGATTGGGAAGGGAAATTATCCTATGATCAGATTCATTTTCTTTTTTTTTTTAAATTTTTTATTGTTGGCTGTTCAAAACATTACATAGTTCTT